CTCCCACATCCCGGCTCAGCACTGACATGTTTTCCTCGTCCCCAGGTCACAGTGAGGGTGAAGGTCGAGGAGGCGCCCAGGGGCACTGCAGGACCCTGGTGATCCCTGCCCGGAGCAGCCCAAGGCCCATTGTGAGGACAGGCCTCTGGAGGAGTCGGGAGAGATGGAAATCCCGGGGCCTCAGGACAAGCCACCTCCCGTCCCCATAGAGGGGCCCCCGCAGGAGTCAGGTGATGTCCATGATGGAGATATGGATGCCTGAGTGACTGTCCTGCAGCCTGGGGGAGACACTCAGTTGCTGCCTGTGACAGTGACAGGGCTGCAATGTTCGTAACCACGTGGCTGGGCTGGGACAGACGTGATCCCTGGGGGTGGGCTGCTTCCGGGCTGAGACCCTGATCGTTCTCCCTGCACGGGTGCAGCACCCAGCACACAGAGGCCACATCATGCTAGGACAATGTCGTGCTGCCATGATTACAGCTGTTATGTACTTCACATCCCAGCCCTCAGCGTTCACAGCCCCTTCCTCATGCCCCCATGAGCTCTCTGTGCTGAATACAGGGCAGGTGCACGTGACGGGGAGATGAGACCTGCCTGGTTCGGGTGCAGCTAACCCAGGCCTCTGTCCTGCTGCAGACTCCCCTGAACTGGAGCAGACTTGGGAGCTGTCAGCAGACGAAAGCTGCTCAGGCTGGTGGCTCAGATGAGGCTCGATCCCAGGGGCAGGGAGGGGCGGTGGGTCTCCACTCTCCAGCAGCGCGAGCACCGTCCCTCGGTGCAGAAATCTCCCTTCCACAACATGGTGGAGGGGTCAGTGCTCCACAGATCAGCGGTTCTTGTTCTCCTGGTGCCCCTGCAATCGTTTCACTGCCCAGGAGCAGATCGACCTTGCATTTCCCCTCCCCTGCCCTTAGCTTGTGGATCTGATACGGCCCCAGCATCGCTCGAGCTGCTTTCCCGGGGAGCGATGTCCCTGCAGGCTCTGTGGTGGTGCTGCGATCACCTCCCCACGCTGAGACAGAGTTACTGGGGCTCATCTCCAGCCTCATGCCTGTGGAGGTGTGTTAGCAAGAGCTGCGGGATTCTGAGTCTTCCTTCTCCCCCCTCCTCTGCACACTGAGGCCTCCGTCTCCTCAGTCCCAGGCCAGTGCAGGAGACTCGCAGGGCTTTCCCCGTGCCAGCAGCACCAGGGCTCACGTGTTTCCTCCCTTCCCACCCGCAGGTGCTGGGACCCTGCAGAGAGCTGAGCAGCAGCCTGCTGAGGAGGGGCCGGTGATCCTGGAGCTGCAGAGGACGTGCGCAGGGAGCCTGGAGGAGAGGAGCTCCCTGACCCCTGAGCCAGGCCAAGTGCAGAAGGGGCAGGGCAGGCCTCCAAAGCAGGAGGAGAGCTCGGAGGTGAGCAGGGCACCTGGTTCACTTGTGGTGGGGAGTACAGGTGGGG